TACAGAGGCATATCACTTATTTTCTTCCCTCCAGGTCCCTGCCCAAGACAAAAATCGACTTTCAGYAAAGCCTTAACACCAACCACACGCACTAGTTTTGTCTGCTACCAGCCTACTGCAGATTATGGTAAAGCATGAAAAGCAACAGTCGATTCCAACAYAGTTCTTTTTGATAAGTATAAACTTGTAGTTTTATATGCCCAGACCTCTSCTGAATTGAGTAGGGTTTCTGTATGTGGCCTAAAGGCTGAGGAGATAAAACAAGGACATGGGTAATTGCAATCATCAGGGCAGTGAAGTGAGAAGTAAAGGCCTTGGAAAGATGCTGGGGGAAGGAAGGATGGACATTATGTTACARGGTTTAGAAAAAACTCATGGTGCAGTACCACAATCCCCTACATCCCTCATGTTACAGGATGTAAATAAAGAGTAGGCTTTCCCTGGCATGCCATAGTTCAGCAGCTCCTTCTGCAGACTTAGATGCATATTTTTTCCTTTGTTAATTTGCCTTTCTGGCCTCCGCTCTGGATGAAAAGTTGGATAATCTACTCAAGGAAAACTTGTTGGGCACCATTGGCAAGTTAGATGCTAACAGAAAGACAGGAAAAAGAGTGGAAACCTAATCACAGAGAAGCTTCCTTGAAAAAAAATTCAAAACAAAGAAATACAAATCAATAGGCTCTTGATTAATAATCCCATGATTTGTGAATAGATGGTACACTGGCCTCTGTATAAACACTTGGTAAAAGCACAGCTATTATTCATCTTTGGATGCAATTTCTTGTTGCCAGCTGGCATCACMGAGTTGTTGTCTGTTGCAGTGTATGCAGTGGAGATCCTCAACAGCACAAAGAAGAATGTTTTTGATTACTATGAGGCCAAAATCAACAAAATCCTTAAAGCAAGTAAGTATCAAAATGTTTGACTCCTTTCATTCACCTGTAGGAAAACCAGTTGGATTAAATGCCAGCCAGCACAAGCYATGCAGATGCTTTCTGCTGCTGTGGAAAAGTAGGTTCAGATATATTTCTACACCAGGCTTTCAAAAAGGCTGATCTATTGCAAGGCTCATTTGCCTCACTGTTCAGTTCAGCTCAGGCAGGGGTGGTTTGTTTGGTTCAATTGTGCAATCCCAGAGCACAGGAGCTTCAATCCCTTCAGATGAAACTAAACCAGCAGACTGACTCCAGCTGCATTGAGTCCATGGCTATAAACTGGAGCTAGTTTAAGACAACCCCTTCAAAAAACACACACAGTGTAAATATTATGTCTTCTGCATCAACTAGTTCATTTTACAGACTGTTGATAGATCTTTATTTTTTCTAGTGCAGATATACCCACTGACCTCTGTTCTGATACTGGATGAAGAYTTGAATTATTACTCAATTTATTATTAAGCAATTGCAACCCTTGCAGAACAGGCTGAGTTGTCCACAGTGGCTTGCCTGAAGCCAATAAAGACAGGAAAACTTCTGTAWCTTCAATTTAATAACTGATAAAGAAATAGAAAGGTTTCTTTGTTGTTAGGTGCAGTGCAAAGATTTGCACGGTTCTTAGACAATGTCCTTTTGCAGGCCTGCCATCCCAGCTGCTCCCACGTGAACTTAATCAGCAGAGATACTCTTCAAAGTAATTTCTGGGGAAGCTGTCAGATGACATGTCAGACTTCAGCTGCTGTGCTATCATGTGGTCACCATTTTTGAGTTTGGCAGCCAGAGATTGCCTTTAAAAAGCAAATTTCAAAGGTTTTGAAATCTTCCCACCATCCAAGTTTCCTGGGTCCAGAGAGAGCATCTGACATACCAAGGGCTTTCTATATGCAGGGAAATTATAATGTCCATAGTGGTCAAAATACTGGCTAGGGGATATTACGGTGTTCTGATGCAGACTTTCACTAATCTCTTCAAAATACCTACAGGATTTAAAGGTTGTGCTCTGTTTCCCAATGCATTTGTACTCACAACTTACAGGCAAACACTGGAAAGATTTTGGGTTTTGGTAGTCAAGAGAAACATCCTTTGAATGTGAAGTTAAGGAAAAAAAAAATCTTCTCCCATTCCCAGATACCTGAAAATAATTTTTGGTTTGTGCTGTCTGATTCAACTTCTGAGCATCAGTAAGCTTTCAGCAGACATGAAGGCATGTGAGGATGAAGAAAAATCTAGGTGTTGCACCTGAATCAGCCTGTGTCTGAACTAGTGTTTTTATATTTTCTATTCTCTGTGGCTCTTCCGAGTGAGGTTGGCCTCTGTTGCCATCACTAAGTGTGGGTGAGAATCAGTAGAATAAAATCTCATCCTCTGACCTCATCATCATTTCCTTAACAATCTTTGAAGTAAAGGGTTGGTTCAGAAGACAGATGGAAACACTTATTTGTGTTTGGGAGTCAGCGAAAGAGAATTTTGCAGGTGTGTTCTTCTCAGATTACTTTGGTTATTGATAGAATTAGTGWACATGTTTTGGATGACTACTATTTATGCTGTCCTATGAGTCCTTCAGGAGTCTTTTAGAGAAACAGTATAGCCCATACAAAGTAGCACAGAGTCTTGTTTTCCTCTTTTTTCTTGTTCCCCTTCTTTATTATTTCCCATTACAGATTCTAAAACTTGAAGTAATTGTTTTCCTTAAATTCTGCTTGGTTGTTTTGAAACATTAATTTTCATATTTTTTTTTTTTTAATTGGAGATCTAAAATAGAAAATTACACAATAACCTGTTAAGGTAATAACTCAAATGCTTATGATACCACTGTCTGAACTGTATTAGGCCATTTGTGAAGCATATGAACTGRGAAAACACCTTCGTAATTTAAGCCCAATGAGGCATAACATGATCATTTTCTCAAGTGATTCTGATCCATCTCTGCATTCTATGTACAAAATAAAAATTCAGGACAACATAGGGGTGTCCTGAACAAAAGGGGTTATATGAGAAAACCTACAGGACTTATTATTCTCGCTAAAAATGCGGATGTATAAGTACTACATATAAAATTAATGTAAGATTTAACTAGGTGGCAGACAAGGTTCTTAAAGCTAGGTTACATAGATTASCTGTCTAGATCAAATTCTCTAAAATCTAGTTAATGTTAGAAAATTCCACTTCAGGTTTATATTTTACTTTTTGGGTTTTGATTACTAGACTTTCTATACTTGTAATATAATACTSTCTATTACAGCAGAAGCTGCACAAGTTTCTGTTAACTGATAAAAGACTGTGATGTAACTCACCTGCAATTTAAGCAGCTTTAATATTGAATTTGTCACCATGGTTGTGCTGGAAATTTCAAAATATCGCTAGAAAGAAAGTAAGCAATTAGAATATTGCTATTAGGTTCCTTTTTTCTTTCAAATGGGCTTTGAAAACGGTTGTTCTAGTTGAACAACACAATATCTCATGACCTGAGGTTGACCTGATGAATAAGCATTTTTTCAGCTCTCATGCCATTGCAGTACCTGGGCAGCCTCCCCATCTGCCTTGGAGGCCTTTTCTGTAGTGGGCAGGGCAGTTCTGAATGACCAATCCTCTGGGCCAGAACCTATTAAGTTATTTTAATATAGATCATGTCCTGTGTATCAGAATCAGAGGGAAAAGCAGAAAGGCTATATCCGTAAAGTTCAGGTCAGGTGTTCTAAAGAGAGTGAGATTTTAATACTGACTGCTGCACCTTTCTCAAGAAGTCTCAAGATGTTTGAATTTATTTTCTTAGCTTTTAAGACCCCTCTGAGCCTGAGTGATCTGAAATAGAAGATAGCAGGTTTTCTATTTTCCTTGGCTTTTCCTTCAGTCTCTGAGATTTAAACAAACTCCACAAGGTCTGAAAGGTCCTAAGGTCTATAGAAAAATAGCTCCTTCAATAACTACTGCAAGGGCCAAGACAACCAGCTAAGGCAAAAGTGGTTTCCTCTTTGTCAAGTCATGCTAAAGGAAATGTGTCCTACCATAGCATAGCCATTTATTCCCATGTCAAGCCCCAGTTCCCATGCAAAATATTACCTTGGCTTAGCAGTGGGGCAAACAATCATAGGGGTTTGTGTCYTATGGGCTGCACTTCTTCTCTTTATTAAAAAGGCTCATGGGGTTTTCTCTTCTTGTCCCAMAGCTGCTGATGAAAGCATCCAAGTGGGCGAGCGCCGACAGTTCCTGACACGCTCCATGTGCAAGTTAAACATTGTCCCTGGCAAAGGCTACCTCCTCATGGGGAGAGATGGGGAAACAGTTGACTGCAACAACAAGTAAGTGCAAAATGCTTTTTGAGCAGCAGCAGATACTATCGTGGACCATAAAGCCAGAGGAAGCTCAATCTATTAGAATTCCTTCAGAGAGAAAAGGCAGCACCAAATTTCTCAGGGACTGAGATGCAGAGTTCCGCTCCATAGGCAAAAGGGGGCCACCCAAATCTAATTGGCTCAGGGATCTGTGCAGAGCCTGGTTCCCAGACTTCTCTGAATCAAGTATGGCCCTGATTCCACCAGGTTAAAACTCCAAAGCTAGAAAGGGAGAATGGGAAAAGCGACACAGTCCATCTACTGCAGATGCCTTAAACAGCTTCTGCATTTGCAAAAGAAATATGTGGGACTGTGACTAAGAGCTGCTCCCAAAGTTGCTGCTATATCATGCATGCAAATAGCATGTTCTTCTCATTTTTCACTGTCACATTTTAATGAAAAAAGACAATTTATCTGAGTAGGTATTTATCCTGACAATATCAAATATTCAGGGAAGAAGACATCTTAAATGTTTCATTTCCCTGCACAGAACTGGAGAAAGGTAGTGCCYCTGAAAGTTTCTGGAGAGGACATCTGCATCTAGTTGTGAGCACCACTTCCTAAAAGCTTTAAAAGCGCCATCTCYATCTCTGTATGACACCAAAGTGAGTGCCTAAGGCAACGGTCTGCTTTGAAAGAAGCCTGATAGAGCCTGGGCTGTCCCAGCAGGGGTTTAACCTCCAAAATCTTCTCCAGTTCAGTCATGAAATACTGGAAGTTACATGGCTTTTCATCACAGAAAAAAGGGAAACTTTTTGGGATACTCTGTTGGAATTAAACTCCCCTTCATTATATTCCACTGGTGGGCACCAGGGCCTTTTGTGCCACTCTGGAAAACTCCATCAGAAACTTAGTCCAAGCTCACCTGACACACTCCAAGCTCACCTGACACACTCAAAACACAAGTACTGCCAGGTCTGTCCCAGCTTGGCACTGGGACACTTCCCAAACTTTATTCAAAGCTCAGTTAATCTTCTGGTGTAACTAAGTTTCAGGCAAGTTTTTTGGTTAGAATCGCTCCTGATCTCAGAGAAGCCTCCGTGGAAGGATGCAGCAGCTCAGGGATTATGCTTTCACATTGCTCCCTGTTGGAATAATGACTAACCCTCTTTACCTGTCCCATTTTCACTCAGGATGCAATACTTACTCGATGCACAAGCCTGGGTGGAGAAAATTCCGGAGGCCAGTGAGTGCCGCAGCACCCTGCGCCGGCAGAGCTGTGCCCACCTGCAGGACTTTCTGAGCATGTCTGACAGCCTGTGCCACGTCTGAACCATGGCTCTGACCCCATCTCTCTCTGGGACTGCAGCTTGCCTTCTGGTGGAATTCTTCCTGCAAAGCCTGAGCTTCCAAGTGGCACCTGAAACTTTGCAGTGCTGCTCGCATTGCTGTTTGGCTGACTGGAGTATCCCTTCATGGGTGGGTGCGTGGGTAATACAACAAAAAAAGCAAYTACTCCCTGGTTATTGTGTTTGTTGTGCCTGACACTGGGGCAGAGAGAACAGGAATTYCTGTCTCCTCAATCCATTATACAACAGTGCTACTACCCTGTAGAGTGTCAATAGGAAAACATATTGTGCATGCAGATCTGATTAATCCCTGCACACCTGGACAAGAAAAAACTGTTTTAAAATAAGGCCAAGACATTTTCATRGGTCAAAAAGAAAACTGGGCATTCATGGGCTTACCTGTGTTACACTGTTGCTGAAAGAGAAGAGATGCCAGCAYTCATGCTTCAACACATCACCTAGTTTCTGGTTATAATTGTGGGTCCCGCTGACCCCACAGCTGGATTCCATACACTTCTGAAGCTGGAACTGGAAGTGCTGCACTGGGTATGTCCTGTGCTTGACCTGGGAGATGTGCACAGGCTTCTCAGGTTGATAGCTCACAGAGGGCACAAGAAAATTTTTAGCTGCACTCTTTAGCCACGTGYCTTTCAAGTTTTTCTCTTTTTTAGAGTTTAACTCAAAACTGCTCTATTCTTAGAATAACAAAAAGTCCATAGAAAATGTTTTGATTACATTGATAAGCAGATGACTTTCCATGGCAAGTTTTGCTGCTSTAGTTTGCCAGCAATGTGCCATTTGGCAGTCACGTCTGAAGCAGGGAAGAGCTGAACATGTCACCATCCTCTGATGCTCACACCACTCTTAATGGTAGTAGCTACCTGGGCACAAGCATTTGCCACCTGGACTCCAGTGCTACACTGCACTGAAAATAAGAAGGGCCTCTTTCAGTTATATGTTAATTACTAGGTCCATGCTGCAGTGGTTAATTTGGAGGCAAATGACCCTGCTGATAGGAGGAGCAGCAGTGATGCTCATGTGGACAAGACATTACACTGCAGCAGCACCTACCAGAACAGCTCCATCATGAGAAATTTCAGGTTCACAGTCACTGCTGTGTGCCTCCACTGTGAACAGGCCAGCTAGTTTTGCAGGCTGAAAACTCAAATTTAGTATCAGCTGAACTTGGATATCAACAACATCTTCCCCTGTTCCATCTTCAGCTGCCAAGCATTGCATGGATGGAAGGTAGGGAAGGCATATTTTAGGAAAACCTGCATCACTGCTTCATGACATATGCAAAGGAAGATAAGAAATCTGCTAAGGTGAAAGACAGACAAATTAACAGAGGACCTCAAGGTTTGCCCTGGCTTTCACATTTAAGAAATGTGACTGTAATGCCTGATCATACATCCTCTTTATTTTATTACAGAGCTTATATAAATGTCAGTGATATGGCAAAAAGATACAGCTAAGGTCAGTAAAGCAAGTACTAATTTCTATTAATATAAGATAAAGAATAGGCTGTTCCACTGACATACCAATTATCCAGTAATTCTGCCAATATTTATGAAATAATACCTCTAAGGTTAAGAGCCAAATCCTTCCTTTCCACTTCACAGGGCTTAAGTACCAATGTCTRACCCTTCTGCTGTGTGGAGTACATCAACAGCTCAGAGGCTCCTGCRTAGCAGACAAATCACCAAATAATTTCAACACTCAAGACTCTGTAAAGTGTGGTGAAAGCATCATTAAAGTTTTATAATAGGTCTAACATACATTTTAYGTATTTTCTTCCATTTTACTCGGAGATGAGTTCCACTAAGCCAGAACTGCTTAGTGTCTTAACTTAGCAAATGCAGTCTCAGGGTGGGGGGAATACCTGGGAACAAATTCCTAAACTCAGCACATTGATACTCAACTAGTTGAGGAGAGTTAGAGGTCAAGATATCACCCCTCACCACTAGGAACAAAAAGCATGCATCTAAACTTGACAAAGTAACATCCAATACTTCTCCATGAGAACTGTCTTACACATCCTGATGCCAGCTAATAATGAAGGCTCCAATTAGAAAAGGGGGACATGAAATTGTGCCTTCTAGTGAACGGARCCCCTAGCTCCCCAAAACCACCACATACCTGCTCTGATTACCCCAAACTCTCAAGCCTTTTAAGCACAAAATGAATTAAAGATGCTAGGGAAAAAAAAAACAAAACCAATAGTGAAGAACCAGTCACAATCCAATGTATCATTGACCTGGGTTTGCCACCCCTGTGTATGGATTATAATACTCAGAACTACCAAAAACCTCACTTGGGTCTGTAGTCCAGAGCAAACTAGGAGCTGCAATGCACCACAAAAKGTGAGCTCATAACTCAATAGTTGTGGAAAAACTCCGGACACTGGAGTAAGGTTCACYTCATTTTTTCTTGATATACTCATTAGGCTACATCACAAACTCACCTGACAAACAAATTCATGATGTGGGTCTCAAACTTGGAAAGCAAATGAATAACTCTGTGTGGGAAAAAACTCCCAAGTCTCCTACAGCAACAAAAAGATGGAGTAGACCCAGCCTCTTTAACMACCATGTACCTCCCTGATTTCTACTAGGGGCTGAAAAATTCTTGTGTCTTCCCTAGCTAGATCCTTTTTTCTTCTTTCCAGCACATCCCTCCATACAGAAGTGCATCAACAGGTGAATCAGTCTTCTTCATCCACGGGGTCATGTTGGCAGAAGAGGGAAATTTGCCCTGTTACTCTCAGTGGCAGCTTCAAGAGTTTTCATCTCCAGTCCGTGTTGGGTATCACATATAGATAAAACATACTTTTTTTTTGTTTGGTTACTTCTGCTCCCTTTTATTATTATTGAGAAAAAAATAATACCACTCACACCCACAAATCAAGGCTTACCAATTAGATGTTCTGTGTTCATTTTCTTAGGTCTCTCCCTCTGGGGATCCATCCCCTCAGMGGGAAGATCTAATCCCCTCTCAGATGAGACAGCAGCATACCTTGAAACTGCAGTGCWCGTGCAAAATGCTGAAGAGGGAGGCAGGATGAGAGAAGGAGAAATCCCTTGTACAAAAGTCTTCTGGGAGCTGGTTACCAAACACAAAGTCTTGTGTCTCTGATGTAACTTGATGCTATTCTGTGGCTGCCCTCTGTCTGGGGTGCACTTGGCCCAGCTGATTTTAGACCCGACAAAATACAAGCTGGAAATAACTTCTATTAATCCATCACCRGAGATTAAAAAAACACACGAACAAGACAGAAAGAGAAGATAAAGAGAAAACATGTCYTGTGAGGAGCAGCTGAGGTAAGGCCTGAAGAAAATGAGGCTCTAGCCCAACCTGAAAGGAGGCTGTATCAAAGTGAGGATTGGTCTCGTCTATCAAGAAACAAGCAATAGTGTAAATAGCCTCAAATTGTGCCAGGGAGGTTTAGATTAGATATCAGGAAAAACTYCACCAAAAAAGTTGTCAAACACTGGAACAGGCTACCCAGAGAAGTGGTAGAGTCCTCATGCCTGGTGGTATTTAAAGTACAGGTAAATGTGGCACTTCAGGATGTGGTTTAGTGGTGGGCTTGGCAGTGCTGGGTTAATGGTTGGACTCCATTTAGGAGATCTTTTCTGACCTATGATGCTGTAAAGCCAGAAGGCAGAGATGGAGTACTCCTCTGCTATTTTGGAGCCCAGCTACCGTTCATATCTCAAACAGCACAATAAATAAACATCCAGGTGGTTTCCACRCTGTGTATGATAGCTCACCACACCCTCCTTCACACTGTCCATCAGTAAAGGCTGAGCCCTGTTGAGCTTGATAGCCTAAAAATCACAGCAGAAGCATTTCCCAAGTCTTAAAATTGACCTCCAAGTAAAAGTATTTTTCACAAAATATTTTGACAATTAAACTAAGCACATCATTTCAGACTAAGCTATTTCTGAAGGCTGTAGAAGCAGAGAGCAACCCTCTCAAAGGCCAAGGCTGTTGCCTGTCGAGTAAAAAATGAGGGKTTTTTTATATGAGTTTGACATATAGCTGCATTAATTAGACGGCTGTTTTCTGTGGGCATTTGTTATCTAGAATATCGGTGAAGATCTGGCTCCARCTTCATTTCACCCAAGACTTCCTCTCTGCTAGTAATCACACTGGCCCCAGATGGGTCTCTCAAACCTGATTGTTCCCCAGAGAATCCTTTTTCACAGARAGGAAACCACACCCCTGAACTGATGTTTTAAATCCCACTGAAAGCTGTAAGCACAGCTTTAAAAATTAGGATCGACATGCTTATTGCAATATGCTCTCAAACATGTGACTGCTAATTTGAAGCCATTTGTAGCATTTCCCTTATTATTTYACTTCTAAACACTGATCAGTATGATCAATCCTCTTCAGGACAGATGCTTGCTTGGCAGGGTAGCAAGCATGAGCAGTGACAAGAGAAATGTGGTTTAATTATTTCAGAAGTAAAAACATATGCAAAAGTATCCATTTTTTTTCACTTTAGAACAGAAGTTACTGAAAATAGCTTAATTCAGAACTATTTGAACACYACAATTTACACAGCTGTTTATAATATCAGATAAATGAGCAAAACATACTATAACTTAACAGACATAATCRCTCCTGTTTATTGGCAACTCCCTGAGGTGACTGTAAATATAGGTGAGTAAAGCAGATGGCAGTAATTTGTTTTCAGTAACACCACAGTATTAATTTCATTTTAAATTCAGCTGCTCTTTTATTCCCCCCTTTTCCAAATTTTGAAATCAAAGTCAGGGTGATCTTAACATTTTCTCCTTGGGGCTATACTGGGGCATGTGGATAACTCATGTTCCAGAGCAGTTAAAAAACACTCAGAGAATAAAACATGAGAGCTTTGGGGCACAGCAGTTTCCAAGCTGCAAGTTCACTGGTGCTGAATAGGTTGGTGCAACCCTGTGACACAGGGCACTGCCACAAAGACTGAGTTCAAAGCTGCTTTAGCTACAAGTAAGCCTTAGAAGCAACATCAGATGACTGTGGTTCARGCTGGGGGCAGTTATTTCTGCAGAGTTCTGTATTTGGGATAGAGCTAAAGCCTTCAACTCCTATTCCAAAAGCAGTGTGAGGGTTCAGGTCAGGCAAGATCAGGAGCTTACCTGTAAGCACACCATTCTCCAACAGTTACAAATGGCATCAATGCTTTGCAATGTCTCTACAAAACCCACTTGCTCTCACTKAACTCATCACGCAGTTGTAGAGACTTAATCCACAGCCATGTCTAGACAGTGCCAATCCCAAAGGTACAAAAAATAATCAACAGGCAGCCCCCTCATGAGATTTGCAAAGTTGTCTTTTTCTGATCTTTTTAGGCCCATACTACTTCTCTTCCCATGCACTGGGCTTTGACCAGTCCCTATGGATTTCTCAGCTTAGTCCTTTCCTGGCCCCGAGTTCTGCCTATTTGATTCAGGCTTGGCCTTTTTTTCCCAGATCAAAATTAAAGACAGGACAGCACAGAGCAGATTAATAGTATGGTCCTGTTGCTTGTAGGAACATCCCCATATTGCTGCTCCTCCTCAGGTAAATGACATCAGCTTTCAGTAGGTGAAGATCTGGAGAGGACAGAAAACCCTGCTTTGGCCACTAGAGCATGAGTAAATACGAGAGAGTCAAAGGCATTGCTCCTAAACCAATACAGAAAGAAAGGCAATTTGCAAGGAAGTTACAACATCCATACCATGACAAGTTTCGTTTCAGGCCCACCCAAACTCCCAACACCAATTGGCAAATCAGAGGAAAAGGATAGACAATTACTGTTTCTGTCCCATTCACTGCAGCCGCAATTAAAGCACTTGAAAGAAACATTGAAACTTGTGCTTGCAAACACAATCCCTGAATGTTCTTAGTTGTTGCAAAAAAGATTTTATTTCAAGGAACACTTCACTACACCTTATCTTTGCAGTCTGTCAATACACACGAAATAGAGCAGTAATAACTAACTTTTAAAAAAGAACAATTAGTCCAGAATTAAAGTTACACAGCAAGAACCCTTTCCCGGCACAGGCTCAGTTTAAGGTGTTTTGCCTCAGGAGCAGATRTTTCCTTGGCTTATAAAAATGGTGATCAAACAAGCATGAAAGAGYTCAGAACAAATCACTCCCTTCAGAAATTCCAAGGCTGGGTCACAGGAGTTTTCTGCAATGCAGAACACAGACTTTATTCCTAAAGAGGAAAAAAAAAATTAATAAAAACAACTTTACATCAGGAGAAATACTTAGAAAATTGAATTTTAACCCTAACCACTGGAGAGTTCAATATACAAAACCCTGTTCAATATGATTCAGTAAGAACCAGAGAGCCCATTCCAGACATTAACAACTTCACAACTGAATACTTCTTAACCGATTCACTTGTCTAACACTGATGGGAACATCAAATACTCTTCCCCTGGATAAAGTGGCTCAACACCACCTAGTAACTACACTGCTTCAGGAGAAGAGCATTTAATACASAGGATCTCACTCCTTCTCACCTGTTTTCATTTGGAGAAACAAGGCTTGAGTCTCTTCGGTATTTCTGAGTTGTCCAGTGTTCAGACAGGAACCCCCATGCCCCAAAGCCATTCAATAGGTATTTTTAGAAATGGAGGCACAAAGTGCTTACTTTCTGACCAAACAGTATTTCTTCCTTTTGACTACAAGGTAATGTGAATTAATTCAAACTTTGGTTGCTTGATGGGGAAATGGATTTAATAGATGTCAAACTCAGTACCTCAGTAAGGTTACACTAACTTTGAACTACTTTACATTCACACCTAGGGGAGAAAAGCCAATTTGCTCTTGTTAAGATACTCATATCTTTATATTCTCCAACTGATCTACAAATCTACAAAGAACAAATGGAAAGAATGAGAAACAGAATAAAAAGATGGTAGAGATCTCTTCCATAGACTTCTTAAGTAAGATACAAGGCACCAATTTTAAGAGCAGTTCCGAGAATCATCAGAATTTAACAGATTCCACAAAATAAAGAACACAAAAGATTTTCTTTAGATTTAACATAATATGCAAGTCTGATTTTTAAAATGTCAAAGAATTTAACTTTTCATTAAAAAAATTAATAGGATATTTCTAATGTCACTCTTTAGGAAGTCAATTTTATAAT